AAATACCAGGTGAGCTATTAAGGCCCCTGGGCCTCTTGTTTATTTCTCCGCTGAAAACTTTCTGATCGAAAAACAATACAAAATGTTCTTCTTCACTAAAATGCATGTCGCATCTTATAATAACTGCTTGTGGTTTTCAGTTAGTTTATCAATCAAAAGTTGTCTTTAGGTGTCTCCTTCCTCAACCTAAGTTCCCAAAAAAGTCAATACCTGAATTAAAGTTTAAATAAGTTGAATGCATCATGACATTAAATATAACACTTCTGTACTGATTCTGGTTTGTAGGCTGAGATAAAGAATAAGATGGACAAGACAGATCTTGAAAACCTGAGTGAGTAGAAATGTTATTGTTGAAATAAAACATGAATGTGCTGGATTTTCTTGAGCTTTGTCATTTGAAATTGATGTTGATTAGTTATTTATGTTTTATTTATGTTTTTTTGTTTTAGATCTGTCCTCAGACATGCTTGAGCAGCTTGCTAAGCTGAAGGCAGAGCTTGATGCCTTACAACAAGCCAGGGACAAGGTAAGCTCCCAGATCGCGGCTACAATAACTGTGTGTATCTGTATACTAGCCTGCCTAACATTCTCATGTAACAAGACTCAATCATGTATTGCTACTGCTTCAAAATTCATTAACCATGTATAGCTAGTCTCATATAATTACACTGTTAAAGGCTCACAGATAAAGTTTGTTTTTTCATTATTTCACCAAATACTTGTGAATCATGTTTGTAACCATTAGTGTTTGTACTGTATATAACTGTGTTATGCACTTGTGAATATTTAATCAGAGATATATCATTGCACACCTGTATGTAATTGTCATTGATCAATGGCCCAGGGTGTGCATGTCACCATCAGCAATGTAACCATTAACATTCTACAACAGTCCTGTCCGGGTAAACTAGGTAGTGAAACAGTCTAACGCTTGAAACCTACAAACTAGTCACTGCTGCTGGGAGTAAAACTTTATACAGTCACTAGGGAGTTTTAGGGCAAGAATTACACGAGATAAGCATTATGGTTCCCAGGACAACAATTTAGTAGGGTTCTATGACAACCGTTGTAGAACGATTGTAAAGATTTAGTGCTTCACCGAAACAACATAAGGGTTCTAGGACAAACCTTGTACTAACTCTTAGGGTTTTAAAGATAAAGGTTTATCAATTGAGCATTAGGGAGTTGTATTGGAAACTCTGTACAAACTCAAAGGTTTCTAGGATAAGTATTTCATTATAAGAGTATCATTAGGGGTTCTAGGGCAACCTTTGCACCGATTTTGAAAAATCATAGTTAGGACAAACATTTCACCAATGCTGGAAGGTCCTACACATTAGCATTTGTAACAGTACTAGACAGGGTTAGAATTTCTAGAATTTTGGAGAAGAACTATTTTACCGCTCTTTGTCATCAAGAAAATAGGAGAAATTTCAATTGGGGAAAACAAATATCCAAATGTGTTATACCACCTATGTACATCAGCCTCCTAGGTTCCTGGACAAGACTTTTATATTGATGTTACCAGTCCTGTATTTTATAAACACATGAATCTAACCTGCACTCCCTTTCTCTCTCCTATCTCCTATCTTGCCATTCTTAAGGCCATCAAGTTCAAGACAGGTAAGCGAAGTGGTAAGATTGGCCCATTGTCTGAGTCGGATGAGAGTAGTAGTGGAGGTGAGACAACAGAGACAGACAGTCAAGAGGAGCTTGAAGAGCTCAATAAACACGAACTCACGGCCATTGCCATAGACGCCCTGTCTAACAAGGTAACAGTGATGGAGGACCGACTCAAGGTGTTCCAGGATATGATGATGGATGATAGCGCCTACCAAAGTGATGTCACTGACCTGCGGTCATGGCTCACTGGTATGGAGCAGAGACCAGACCCATTGGCAGACCTTGAAATGACCACCAGCGAGAATGATATCACTCCCAAACCTCCCAGTCCGAAGGTATCTACTTCCGTAGAGAAAACACCAGTCAAAGCTGAAGAAGTCGAACCTGAAGTCAAAGAAACCAAAGGGAAGGAAAGTCCACCGGCAAACAAAAAGAAGGTATCAAGTGGTGAAAACCTGGCTAACGTGAAATTTGAACAAGATATTATGGACATCTTTACTAGGAACACATCTGATGTTGACGGTCAAGTGGAGGATATGAAAAACATGATGAATATGTCTTCAGAAGAGATTTCCAAAGCCAACAACAAGATCCGCACACTTGCAGCTGTACTAAATGACCAACTTCAGGATGTCCGTGACAAAATCTTCACCCTCGATCACGACCTCAAAAGAATGGCCCGCGGCATTGAGTTTGCACTGCTCAGATCAAAGGTTGCTGGAACAAATGATTTGGTCAGTTCTATCATTATTTCTGTTTCACTATTGACTGTTTTTAATGTTTCTATTTTACAATTGCAGCATAACATTTGAAATTTCATTCATCAGCTACATTGTATTCTGAACTATCACTAACATTGTTGTAACCATTTTATATTGCTTCCATAAACGTGGGTATGAAGATGGATAGGCTTGAGGAAAGTCTAAAGGAGGGCAACATATTATCAGATGATGGTAAAGTAACATTCACACGGGATCGTGTGTCTAGTGGCTCCACAACAGGAGAGTCTTCTGTGAGGGGAGGGGCCACCACACCCAGTACAGACATAGCCTCTCCTACAGGGGTTATTGTCCCTGTAAACAAGGTGTCCAGTTCCCAGGGAGGTAGAGACTCTCCTGGGGCTACCCAGAGACAGAGGGGTGCGCCTCAGCTTACCCAGGGATCTAGAGACTCTCCTGGGGCTAAGGGTTCCATACCTGAGGTTGATCAGGTAGCTGGTTTTGACAGCATGTTCCCTTCTGATTTAATGGTCATTGTACCATCACTTCTCCCTTCACTTCTGTTAACCTATGTGATTGTCACGCTTCTGTTTCGATGGTCAAACCAACCAACTCCCTACACTTTTATACCTATGTCTTCTCATTTTTTCTTTTCTGTTTCAAAGGTCAAACCATCCAACTATACGTACCCTTAGAATCTTTATATGTGATTGTCTCTTTTGTTTCATTATAGTTATACCATCTGACTCCCTACACTTACAAGCTGTCTAATAGATACTGTACACCCACGCTACATGTGTACACAACCCTTATAGTCTTTGTGTAAATATAGTGTATTTCTAGGAGTGACCCAAACACCAAATCTGATTTGCATGTTATCTGATTTCTGTTATGTAAAGCTATTTTAGCCTTTAGTATTGAGCTGTCGATGTATTTACGTGGCCCTCAGTAAAGTTAGGGTGTGGTAAATGTGCCTTGGTGTACCATCGCCTTAGTTTGAATATCTAGGGATTATGTGATTCCTCAGGTATATAGCGAGATTTGATATATGTATAACATGGTATGGTGTATCAAGTTTCAGAAGCATGAAAGTTTCAAAGACATTTAAAATCATATATTTAAATATGTGACATAACGTGTCACTATAAAATTTATATTGGAGCTTGTTACAGCAAATTTAAATCTTCAGTATAAGGCCGTTAAATTACCATGATGAACTTGGCCTATAAAATCACTTCTCTTTCCCTAATGGCGTGGCTAGTTGCCACAGGACTTGAGTAGGAGTTATTATATAAGTATGCTGGATCCTGACTCACTGCAGTCTAGCACTGACTTAGTGAGTATAAGAGAGGTTAGAATGAGCTTGATTCACTGTAGCAAAACCCCTGCCCAGTGAGTCAGGACGTACAGTACCAAGACTGTTACTCCTTCGAACAAACACCTCATTTTTATCCAATTTTACAAACAGGTTCTTAAATTTCACTGTGATACAGGTATGAAATGTTGTGTTGTGTTTGTGTATTAGATCCTATCAGCGTTAATACCCCATTAGTGACTGAGTGGGTCTTGTTGCGGACTAAAACAATGAGCCCACTGTGATGGTTTGACAGGGTACAAGTGGGATTATTGGATGCATAACCAAGTCTTCATGCATTTCTTTTATTTTCTGTGTAACTTTCATTTCAACCGTAATAATTGCTATAATTTCCTCATCAAGAATGTGTAAAATTATTGGAGATAATTATGTTCCTGCTTTTAGTTAGAACTGCATGCATGCCTGAACCTTTTGTGATGACAAACCCCCTGTAGAACTTCAGCCATGCCTTGTGGTCAGGCATTGTTACTGGACAATTCTACTGAAAAGCATCTCACAAATGACTAACTTTCAAATCATGTTGCATGTTTAAAAATGGTGTCGGAATAAAACATGTCATAATGTATCTTCAAAATGAAAAGAACATCATTAATTACATATTCTCCTAACAAATCTTATAATCATCTTTATAATGATTTCTTGACACCAAAGTTACAAAAGAAATACAATGATAATGTTGACCTTCATATCACTTGTTGTTTTGCTGACCTTGATTATCATGGTTATACAAAGTATATTGTACAGATATATGTTGACATGTGATATAGTGTTATGATGTCCATGTTATACGATGTCTATGTTGACCCTGTGGTATAATGTTATGATGTCCATGTTATACGATGCCTATGTTGACCTTGTGGTATGTCTATAGGATAGTGATGCTCTGAGTCGGGCCCAGGCAGCCATTTTACAGCTACAGGCCGACTTTGAGAGGTTACACAACACCACCAAGGACATGATGGAGGAAAACGAATCCCGCAACAAACAGATTCAGGTAGGTAGACTACACTCAATGCAGGCCAATAGGCCACTAATTACAGTGTAATATAGGTATTAAGGGTGTAAGGTATTCTAAAGGAAGGTAAGGAGATTTAGGGTGTAAGGTATTATAATGGAAGGTAAACAGATAAAGGGTGTA